TGTATTCCCCTCAGCATGTCCCCCTCCCGATATTACTTGCCTAGCTTTTATTTGCCGTTATTTTGTACATATACTATTATCTACACAGTTTTATTAGGTAGATGTCTTGTCATAGACTCGTCACTACTTCGTCGAGGTTAGGCTCCATTTACGAGTACATGGGGTCGGTTGTACTCATACTACACTGTGCACTTCTTGTGCAGATTTTGGTGTCGGCCCCAGCTGATCATGAGGTTAGCAGCTGGACTTGCTTGTCTAGAGACCCAAGGTAGATCTGTTGGCGTCCGCAGACCCTGGAGTCTCTTCCTAGTCTTATTATTTTGTTGTTTCTTTTCTTTCAGAACAGTGTATTTCCTTTCAGACTCTGCTTGTAGTAAATCATAGTAGCTCGTGAGTTGTGACTCCAGATCCTAAATGTATAAGATATTATGGATTTTATGTTATTTCGCAAATCAGTTTTAGCTTATGTTTAGCATAATTATTCTTGTTATTGAAATTGGCTAAAGTTGGCATTAAGAATCCTCTAACGTTGGCTTGCCTAGCAAGTGAAACGTTGGGCGCCATCACGGTCCCGACGGTGGAAATTCCGGGTCGTGACCCTAAAAGAGGAATCTATAATGGAATTTTAACTACGATTTATTGTGCTTCAACTCTAATTCCCCTGAGTGTTTTTTCCAAATAATTTTTTTTTAATGTTCTGATTCCCTTTTTTTTTTTTCCATCACACTTGTCTAGGTTCAATGAATTTAGTATGTTAAACACTTCGTTAAGTACTTTTATGACTAAGATTAGCAAAATATCTATATTTCCATCTTTTGAAGCATACAAATTTCGTGGTCCAATACATCCACATTAAAAAATACGGTCTTAAACGCGCAAAAATGAATTTACTCTAGAAACCGACCAGGTTCAATTGAAAACTTTCCAACCAGAAGTTAGTACTACTATGTGCCATGTACATATCGAACATAAATAATGCATACATACATACATCAATTAGTGGTAAAAGGGGCAGCTGGTGTATAAGGTATCACGCGTTCATGTAGATTCTATGCTTCATATTTTATTTACATAATTAGTTCACTTATTAGGTAATTGCCAATAAATTTCTTAGAAACATTAATTGATAATCTAGTAACCAACATCAGAGACGGATCTAGCATTTTTATAACATAGGTGCATCACTGAAGAAAGGAGAAAAAGGAAGTATCAAGTGGGAATTGATTAATACCCTCTTAAATAAATAATTCAGCATTCAGTTAAGTGCACCATATTGCCTATTTATAGCATGGATGACATCAGATAATATTGGATCAATTGTAAAAGATATATACAAAAAATACCTAGTCATGAATTCATGTGCCTCATATACTGAGCTATAAATCGGCACCTGACCTACTATTACCAATTAAACTAGTATTAGTACCCACGCGATGCGCGGATACAAACATGTGATTTGAGTTATTTGATTTATGTGTAAATAACTTTAAAATATTAATCTTTCAGATTAAAGTTATATATAATCATTAAAAATATGTTAATAAAAAAGCAGAAATTTCTCAAATCTCTTAAAGTTACCCATAGTTTCTTGTCCATATTGCATTACCCATAACTTAAAATTAATATATTCTTGTCTGTTACTTCCATTATAATACATTATAAGTAAAAATATGTTTTTTTTTCTTGTAGTAAAATTTTTTATTTACTTTTATTCTTTTATTCTATTGTTCCTATTAATGTATAAATTTATCATATTTTCTATAATACCTATATTATTATCTTTATAATTAATTAAGACAAAGGTGTTGTTTTTATCTTTTAATTTATTTTGGTTTTTTTTTAAATTTATTAATTAAGATAAGAACAGACAATATCTTCACAAAAAATATTCATTTCTATTCATTAAGATTCAAAAAAAAAAATTAAATTCAAATTAAGTATTAGTATTAATATTATCCTAAATTGCCAAATAGTTTTTATAGTAGTTTGTCACTTAGCTTAACCACAATGCAAAGTTTATTCGTTATTTTAATATACTTTCTCTTCTCAAAAATTAAATAAGTTTATCCTTCCAAATATTCTCTACATTGAAATTATTTATTTATATTTTTTCTCTTTTTCTTTAATTGTGTATTCTATTGTTTCATTAATGTTTAAATTATCGTATTTTTTTTATAATACCTATATCTTTATCTTTATAAAATTAGATAGAGGCGTTGTTTTTATATTTCATATTAATTTTTTTTTAAATCTTATTAATTAAGATACGACACACAATTTTTTTTTAAATCTTTACAAAAATTATTCACTTTCTTTTTCATTCTGATTTGAAAAAAATATTTTAATTTAAAATTAAGTGCATTAGTAATAAAATTTATGCTAAATTGCCTAGTGGCTTTATAATAGTTTGTCACTTGGCTTAATCACAATGAATTTGGTTTATAAATTTTTTTGATTTTTTCGAGAAGTTAACAATATTACAAAAAAGCACGCAGGCTTCAAAAAAAAGCTTTCGATGTTACCCTTTCAAATATATTTCTTTGCAAATAACCCAAATGCTAAAATTAAAGCGGCAAAGTAGTTTTAATAGGATTACAATGCCATAACTTTAGTCATTTATTACTTATTAGTCCAATTAAAAAATGAAGATTTTCAAATCTTCGAATGTGATACAAAATTAACACATTATTATATATAATTAATATAATATATATATATATATACTATATATATATATATATATATATATATATAAAGGAGAGAGAGAGAGAGAGAACTATATTAGAAAGAAATCACCTCTCAATTTAAATGGCAATTTTTATTTTTATTATTTCCATTTTTTATTTTAAAAATAATTGAAAAACTCCAAATTGAAACCATACCCCAATTTCACATTGGCATATTTTTTTATTTATTTTTTAGTTTTTTATTTTAAAATAATTTTAAAACTCGAATTGAAACATTCCCCAAACTATAAAATAACATTGAAACTCCAACTATAAACCTATCCCCAATTTGAATGGGTAGTATTTCTTCTTTATATTTTTTCCGTTTTTAAATATAGCTATTATAATAACTATTTATTATTAATTCCAAAAAGTAGTAACATAAATCTAATTCCCAAATTTAACAAAGTTTTTAGTTAAAAAGGTAGTTTATTTTGGTCTAACAATGACACTTGGCTTTTTTTGTGATTATGCCACTTGGCTTTTTATGATTTATGGGTAGTTTTTTTTTTTTTTTATATTTTGTTTTTTAATATAGATAATTATAATATATTTTATATTATAATTCAAAAAGAGTAACTAACTAATTTCAACAATTTAAAAAAGTTTTTGGTTAAAAAGGTAAGACAATATATATTTTTGCTTTTTTTTATTGTATCTAATAATTTTTTTATTTCATTTTTTCATTTTTTTAATTTTGTAAAAGAACATTGAGAACACCAAACTATAACCTTACTCCCCAATTAATGCGGTAGTTATTTTTTTTATATTTTCGTTTTTTAATATAGCTAATTATAATATATTTATATTTATTAATTCAAAAAGAGTAACTAATTAATTCAAAATTTTAAAAAGTTTTTTAGTTAAAAAGGTAGTTTATTTTGTCTTAACAATGACAGTTGGCTTTTTGTGATTATGCCACTTGGCTTTTTGTGATTATGGGTAGTTTTTTTTTTTAATATTTTTGTTTTTTAATATAGCTAATTATAATATATTTATATTTATTAATTCAAAAAGAGTAACTAATTAGTTCAAAATTTAAAAAAGTTTTTTGGTTAAAAAGGTAAGACAATAATTAATTTTTTGCATTTTTTTTATTGTAGCTAATTTAATTTTTTATTATTTTTCATTTTTTTTTTTAAAATAACTTTGAAACACCAACTATAAACTACTCCCCAATTTGAATGGGTAGTTATTTTTTTATATTTTCGTTTTTTAATATAGCTAATTATAATATATTTATATTTATTAATTCAAAAAGAGTAACTAATTAATTCAAAATTTTAAAAAGTTTTTTAGTTAAAAAGGTAGTTTATTTTGTCTTAACAATGACACTTGGCTTTTTGTGATTATGCCACTTGGCTTAACCACATGCTTCATTACTGTCCTTTTAATATAATATAGATTCACTTGCTAGTAGATCCACTAAACATAGAGGGTGTTTGGATTGGCTATTAAGCTGTCAAATTAGTTTTTAAGCTCTTTTTAGCTTTTTTCAGTGTTTGGCAAAGTCAAAAAGTGTTTAAAATAACTAAAATATTGCTTAAAACAAGCCAAAAGCAATAAGCTGGGCAACCCCAACTTATTGCTTTTTAGCTTAAAAGTTATTTCTGCGGAAAAACTACATTTTTAAGCCAATCCAAACGGGATCATAGTCTATTAAGGTAGTGGCCGTCTATTTATGGTTCTTTTGATGGTTGGTGCAAGCCCAAAATTGAAATACATTAATTTTGTACAAGTTACACATTAAATCGGTGTGTCAAAAATAATTGTATTTGCTAGCTAAATATATATAAAAAATTATATATTAATCATGTATAAAATATATATATTATATATTAATACACAAAAAATATATATTTTGTCGATATTATTTTAAAATGTAGTTTTCCCTTAATATTGTTTGATAGAAAATCCCAACTGCTGAGGTAGAATAACAACAAAAGCATCAGCATAAAATCTCTACTTTAAGGATATATTTCAACCGAAACTGAAGAGTAACGACAACAAGTGATTGAGTTTAATATATTTTAGATGTCACGGTATATAACTTAAATCTTTTTACGAATTTGGGAAAATTCACTTTACTTAATTAGAAAATTACTCGAGAAGAAAGAGCCAAGGGAAACATGTGCAATTACCCATGAAAATAAGACACATGCAATCACGTTCATGTACACACATCCATATGTAGTCTACATACAAAAAGAATTAAATTAATTATTTACGCGCTATCCTGCTAGTGTTTCAGGCTATAAATACTTAATTTTCGGACAAAGTCTTTCCTCCTACTCCTCCTCCTTCGTAAACCTTAGAGAAAGAGAGACACAAAATACGAGAAACAAACATCGTTGTTTCTCTATCCTCTCTCTCTCTCTCTCTCTAGGGTTTCTGTTTCTGTTCTTTCAAATTCCTCTTATTATTCCATTTTCTCTCTCCTCAAATTCATTCATATTCAGAAAAAAATATTTCTGAGGTGAATATAAAGGCATTGGCTTTGATCCATTTTGAATATTAAACTTATTTTGGTAAGTTTCTGCTTGATCTCCATTTTTCTGTATTCGTCTTTTTCGTTATTGTTTCTTCTATTTTAACCCATTTTCTGATATTTAGCAATGTTTTCATACTTTTTGGTTTTAATTTTATGATTTCCCCCCTTTATTTAGGGTTTATAGGTGTCTGTTTAATGCTTGTACATTATGCTGAAAAACTTGTATGTTGTGCTTTAAGGCTTGTACGGTGGCTGTGCTTGTACATTGTGGGTTAATGCTTTTACTAGCATAGATTTGCCTAGTTTTTTATTGGGAAATAGTTCTTTTTAATACAATTTGTGATATTGGATTCGGCTTTGGAAAGTTTATTTCGGAAAATAGATTCTTTGGCTGTTGAATGGAAAATAAATACTAACTATCATTTGTTTTGGATAATAAAGTAGCTATTTTTGTTTCTATAAGAGGCTCCTTACGCAATGTGACAAATCCAAAAGAACCAAATACAGTTGTATTTTGTTAATTGTATTTTGTCCTGCTCTGAAGTAATGTCTATTTCTCTAATAGGGACAGAAGTAATATTTGGAAAAAAAATTGAACTTTTTGCTTGTGTACTTTTTTCTTGCGGGGGCCAGGACTTTTGTCTAGTGGTAAGAGAGCATAGTATCACATGTGTTTGTTACATGTCACATGTTCGAACCTTGCAATAGACAAAAGCCCGGTATCTAATCTAAGTAGAAACGGTTAGAGTTGTGGCCTATTATCCATAGCCACTATCCTTCGGGATTTCTCGGTTATAAAAAAGTTATAATAAAGTTATATTTTTTGTATATGTGAATATTGAATAACCCATGTTATGGTTAATGTTGCTGCTATTAGCTTGAAGAAGCTTTTGCAATCATGGTTTTCTGGATTTTTGGCTATGGCTCCTTGGTATGGAATCCAGGATTTGAGTACGACGAGAAAGTGATAGGTTACATCAAGGATTACAAGCGTGTGTTCGATCTTGGTATGTTGCTCTTATGCTGAGTCTTATTCATTCTTTAACGGTTGATATTTGTTCATAGTATGGTTAATACTTAATTTGATTTTAATTATTGTTATGTTTGAATGTATCAGCTTGCATTGATCACAGAGGTACACCTGAACACCCTGCAAGAACTTGCACCTTGGAAGAATCTGAAGGAGCTATTTGCGTAAGTGGACGTTAGCTACTTACTTTCTTTACTATGATGAAGACTTTAAGTAGAAATGTTGATTTTGTTTCTGTCTTTAAGGTTCTATAGACATGTTCCTTTGTTGTCATTGATTGTATAGTTTAGTCTTTTCATTAAACCAATCACTTTGTCCTCACGTGGTGAGGACAAAGGCTAGCTCTTATTTGCTATTGTAATCCCACTCTCAATGATGGAGACTATGATTGGGGTTAATGCTGTAGTATGTTGATGTTGAATCTTGTGGTGTTTACCTTTCCCAAAATATCATTGTCATGTCTTTTGTCAATTTTACTAAAATGTGCATTTTCTTTCAGTGGGGTGCTGCTTATTGTGTGCGAGGAGGTCCTGAAAAGGAAAAGAAGGCAATGGAGGTATGTGAACTATTCTGTATTGATTTATCGTATGTGTTCAAGGTTGTTCTAGTCTCTGATTTTGGGTCCTGCCTATCACCTGCCGTTCTAGTCTCTGATTTCTTTAATCTATACTTTACAGTATCTGGAAAGAAGAGAGTGCGAGTATGATAGTAAGACCTTAGTAGACTTCTTCAAGGTAAGCGCATAAAGTTTTCGAGTTCTGAGTGGAGCTTATTATGATAAGTTAATAGAGAATTAATGAAATTGTAAACAGATAACATGTTACCTTTCCTCACTATGTTTTCTTTATCCTCTTTCAGGAAGAAGACTCTGATGATCCACTTTTAACTGGAGTAATAGTGTAAGTTCTTTTGTCTGCTCTCCAGCTTTCTCCTCTTGAACGACCTAGTTTAGTGCAAAAAACTTCATATAATTAATAGAAACATAAGGTTGGACCAAAAGTGCATTGAGTTGATTGTTCCAATTTTTCATTTCAGGTTTACATCCACTCCTGACAAGGTGAATAATAAGTACTATCTAGGACCTGCCCCGTTAGAAGAGATGGCCTGGTACGTAAAGACCAAGTTTCCTTGAATTTAAGTTTCCTAAGTAGTCTCTTATCTGAGATACAACTTCTTAAGCCGTAGCTAATTTCTGTATCCCGCTGCAGGCAAATTGCAACTGCTCATGGTCCATGTGGGAACAACAGAGAATACATATTCAAGATGGAGAAGGCTTTGTATGATATTCGTCACGAAGATGATTACATCATAGAGCTGGCAAATGAAGTGCGGAAAGTGCTTGATATCGTGAGTTCTGGGATTCAGAAGGAGAATAAGCTAGCTGGTTCTCCCCGCCTTCCACTCAAGACCCAAACTTCACCTGTGAAAATCTTTTCCATGCCAGAAGCTGTAGTTGCTGTTGCTGCAGACTCGTAGAGAGAATGAATTTTATGAGGAATAAGTAGGAGTTAACCGTGAGATAATTGTAGGAGGGTTTAATTTCATTTCTTACTTTGAACAGACTAATGTAGTGGCAATTGCTGTTGAATTTATGTGTTCCAAAAGTTCTAGCCGTTTAATGATCTTTGTTGGTAGCAGCACTACTAGTAGGCCTTATATTTCTTTCCTTGAACTTAGTAATATTTGGCCAGAGAATAAGTTGACCTACTAACCAGGTGATACCACGGCCAGTATTGTTCTTTGTAGGAACATGGATTATTGAGCTCTTTTTTGAAATTTGGGCAAGTAATCTACATCTTGAATTTGCATAACCAGAATTTAGGCAAGTTGCCTACAAATTACATGATTCCCCCACTTCCACTCTCTATTTATTGTGTCTTGTACTTTCTGTGGCCAAATCGTAGAGAAACTACTTCCGAAAGACCGGCTCAGCAATAGAGTAAAGAAGTGGAAAGAAGTAATTTTGGTACATGTGGGCTATCCTATCCATGATCCAATTTCATGAGACAAGCCCAAGTCAAAGATAAACCATTTAACTTTTTTTTATTATTATGAACTAGTGCTAGAACCTGCGCGATACACGAATAATTTGACGGAATATTAATCTTATAAAATTATGATCCAATATATTATAATATTTTAATAAATGTTAGTTACTATTTTATTATTTAATGTAGTGTACATAAATATAATAAAATCTATACAAAATCAAAGGACACAAAGCATTATAGTAATCAAATAAATTGTTTATTCCTTGTTTATTCTTTACTAAATTAGCAAGTACTTAATACTATATATTTACTAATTTGTCAATTGGCTTAATATTTTGATACTACTTCTCTTCTTGTAGAACATACGTATATATTTTCTTATTTTGGATATATATATTTTTATACTTATGTTATACTGTTTAAAATTCTTCAATTATCTAAATTTATCCATAATTTCTTGAGTGTTATTTATTTCTATTTTGTTTATTAATTAATTTAAAATATAAATATTATAAAATTATCTTTATCCACCTCTTTTCGTACATTTTTTTCTACTATAATATTTGATTAGTTTTTTTATTTTATATTTTACTGAAAATTTAAATAATATAATTTATTTTCCTAAATTATAATTTTTAATTCATCAAAAGTATAAGGATATAAGCCTTTATTATTTTATAAAAAACGTACTAATATTTTTAACAATTAATAAAATGTCTTTTATGTATAATATATTATCTTGTGTATAATATCCTAATAGTTTCTTTATATTTTTATATTTTTTATTATAAAATTATGAGTTCTATTTACTAACTAAATTTTTCTACATGAGCAATTTAATTAGTAGATGTATTTTTACTATATCATTTGATTGTTTTTTAGTATTCTTCATTTATGACTATTTGTTTATTATGATTTTAGTTATGTGTATATGTTATTTTTATTTATTTATTGTTAAATAATTTTAAAACTCCAATTTGAATGAGTAGAATATTTTTTTGTATTTTTCGTTTTTTATTCATAATTATAAGATATCTATATTTACTAATAAGTAGTGTAACCAATTAATTCAAAATTTAAAATTCAAAAAAAAAATTAGTTAGAAAAGTAGTTTAATTTGTTTTAACAATGCCACTTGGCTTTTTGTAGTTAAGACACTTGTCTTAATGTAGTGCTTTTGCTTCTCCTATTCTATATAGATAGATTTTCTTATTTTGGAAATATATATTTTTATACTTATGTTATACGGTTTAAAATTCTTCAATTATCTAAATTTATCCATAATTTCTTGAGTGTTATTTATTTCTATTTTGTTTATTAATTAATTTAAAATATAAATATTATAAAATTATCTTTATCCACCTCTTTTCGTACATTCTTTTCTACTATAATATGAGATTAGTTTTTTCATTTTATATTTTACTGAAAATTCAAATAATATAGTTTATTTTCCTAAATTATAATTTTTAATTCATCAAAAGTATAAATAGATAAGCCTTTATTATTTTTATAAAAAACGTACTAATATTTTTAACAATTAATAAAATGTCTTTTATATATAACATATTATCTTGTGTATAATATCCTAATAGCTTCTTTATATTTTTATATTTTGTATTATAAAATTATGAGCTCTATTTACTAACTAAATTTTTCTACATGAGCAATATAATTAGTAGATGTATTTTTACTATATCATTTGATTTTTTTTAGTATTCTTCATTTATGACTATTTGTTTATTATGATTTTAGTTATGTGTATATGTTATTTTTATTTTTTTTATGTTAAATAATTTTAAAACTTCAATTTGAATGAGTAGAATATTTTTTTGTATTTTTTGTTTTTTATTCATAATTATAAGATATCTATATTTATTAATTATTAGTGTAACCAATTAATTTAAAATTTAAAATTCAAAAAAAAAATATTAGTTAGAAAAGTAGTTTAATTTGTCTTAACAATACCACTTGGCTTTTTGTAGTTAAGACACTTGTCTTAATGTAGTGTTTTTGCTTCTCCTATTCTATATAGATAGATTAGGATTAAACTCTTTAAAAGTAAAATTTACAGATATATAGTATAGAAATTTATTAAGTGGAAAATTTTTATATTTTAAATATTTAAAGGATTTGTTATTAAATATCACAAAACATCAAGGTCGTGCTAGGATTGATAAGATGAATTTAGAATCCGATCTCTAGAAATTTATGATGCGGGAATTCAAATTGGTCGAATCAATGGTTCTAGATACTAAATGGTTATATCTAAAACTAAATAAATAAATATTTGGCCCTTTGATCTAGTTGTTCACCCTTTTGCAAATTCTGCCTTGTTTATATTAGTAAATGGCAGAATAGCCTCATGAACACTTGTACTTGTTCGCGTTTGTCATCCCGGTCCTTGTACTCAACAAAGTTTCATCCAAACACTTATAGTTATTCAAAATCAATATTCTAAACCCCTCTAACCGTTGACCGGGTCTATGTGGCAACTTAACAGATGAGCTGGACAAAATACGTGCATTTCACGCATATACGGAGCGTAAGTATAACTAAACCAAAAAATAATTAAAATGATTAAAAAAAAAGGAAAAGGATAAAAAGTTAAATGCAAAGAAAAGTGCTTTCTCTTTACGTTTTTGCATCTCCCCCTTCCCCATTCTTCTCTCTCCTCCTCCCTTCTTCTTACCTCTACCCCATTTTAACCCAAAACCCAACTACAATACAGCCGTTCCACCACCTCTCATCCGCCACAGATGTTCTTCGTCGCCCCAGATTAAAAAATATTTTCAAATTGTAATAATTTATGAAGAAAATTATTTTCTAAAACCCCGATTTTCGCCCCAGATCCCAACGTTCCCAAATTGGGAAGAAAGTTCTTTTCTAAATCCCCCATTCCCCCCCCCCCCCGTCCCCAAAGCTTCTGAAGACGAGTTTTGCAAGGAATTTCAGATGGTTTTTAGGACATTTCGGATCGATTCTTTTTTGCAGTTGATTGGTGGTGCTATGGTGAAGTATTGGATGTGAAAAAGCTTTTTAGTTGAAGGGTGATCGGAGAGGAGTTGCAGGCGTTGGTACGACGATTTTTAAGAGTTGAGTTGAAAAAGAAAAAGAAAAAGGAAAAGGAACAGAAAAAAGTGATTACTGATGGAAAATAAGAGTTAGATAAATTCTTTCTCTCATTGTTTGTATCATAACATTGTAATGTTACTCAGTGGACTATTTTAAAGGTGGTGATAAATGTATGATGAATTGTGAAAGAATAAAGATGGTAAGTGTGGAGGAACGTGATGGTGGAATGGAAAAGAATTTTTTTCTGAATAATATTAAAAAATAAATTAAATAATAAAGAAAATCTGATGTGGATACTGATGTGGCATCCACATCAGGGCGTTTGAAGAACACATGCGGGAGAGGGGTTTAGAATATTGATTTTGAATAACTATAAGTGTCTGGATGAAACTTTGTTGAGTACAAGGACCGGGATGACAAACGCAAACAAGTACAAGTGTTTATTAGTAAATTTACCTCTATTTTCAAATAACCATAGAATAGTAATTATTGTTTATTATTATTAGGCAGAATAGCCTGAGAGACACTTGTACTAGTTTGTTTTTGTTATCCCGGTCCCTCTACTCTACAAAGTTTCAATCGGATACTTGAACTCGATCAAAATATAAATTTTAAACACCTCTGTCGCTCACTCACTTGACATGAAAGACACATCATATCCACCTAAATTAATGCCACATCATTATTTATTACAAAATATAGTATTTTTTTTTATAAAAATTCCAAATCCATCCCCTTTTTTCCAAAAAATAAATTCCCAAACAGTCCTTTCTCTTCCACTTTTTCATTTCTCAATCTTCTACCCCCATCACCGGACATCACCACCCCTTCCTCCTTCGTCTGCAAATATGACATAACCAAACCCACATTTGGTTACAGTTTTCAATCAGTTCTTGTTATCCCCATTGTATCACTGTTATTGGTGAATCTCTCCACAACCATCAGTACACTCCTCTTCTTTTCACTTTTAGTATCACTTATCAAAATCCAAGTAGTCCCTTTGTCTACAACCTGTTTAGCAAAATACTACAGAAAGTACAATGCTTAACCACCACAATTTAAAACATCTCATAAAGAATTGAAAAAGTCAAAATAAAATAAAGAAAACCAGATAAAAATTATGAGATTCTTGTACCAATAGTAGCACCTTCCCTGACACCATTGTTGAAATCGAATTTTAGAAGGGAAACTAAAATTGAAGCAGCATGTTTCATGATTTAAGCCATAAATTCAATTGATTATTTTGACTCCACTTAACAGCAAAAAGTAAACATGCAAGTGATTATTTATACTAACCTCGAAAATCCATGAATTCAGGCCTTCTCATCAGAAATTAAAACAAGAAAAACTCAAAATTAAATCAAATCATAGGGAAAAAAGTTTTTGATAGCAGAAACAGAAGAAAAAAGTTTTTGATAGCAGAAACAGACGCTTTCAATAAGGGATTGCTTTGGTTTTTTCTTTTTGGGCGGTGTGGGGTTGGGGAGAAGAAAGGAACAAAAAGAAAATGCAACGAGATGGGGTGGGGTGCTGGGAAGAACGATTAAGTCTCCTGTTTTGCTTATGTTCATTTTTTTTTTTTTACTTTTTTGACTTTATCTTTTTATTTGTTTTCTCATCCTATTTTAATAATTTATTGTTCAAAATGTTCATATTCACTTTCACTGTCCCGCGTGAATTACACCCATTTTGTCCAGTTCAATGTTTTGTTGTCATATGTGCTCGGTCAAAGGTCAGAGGTATTTAAAAATTATGTTTTGCATGAGTTCAAGTATCCGATTGAAATTTTATAGAGTAGAGGGATCGGGATAACAAGACCATACTAGTATAAGTGCCTACCAGGCTATTCTGCCTTATTATTATTATACCTTTTCTTTTGTTCTATTCCACTGAAGCCCAGAAGCTTCGAGAAATAAACAGATCCTCTCTAAAATGGAGACTCCGTTCCAAATAGCAATTGTTGTCTCATCTCTCTTCACCCTCAATCAGGTACGCTTCAAACCCCCTACCCCTCCCCCCCCCCCCTAAAAAAAATAAATAAATAAATAGTGAAACTGAAAATCTGGCGATACAAAAAGCATTAATTTTTACTTGTTATTTGCTGTTGAGATTTTTAATTATGGCGTGCCTGCAATTTTTACTGAATTTGATGAGATATATGTTGTAACGTGGATGTGATTCTTTTTTTTTTTTGGGTGGGTGCCCGGGTGGGTTGTGGAGCATTTTAGATTAAAAGATAAATTTGATTTAAATCAAGCAATAGGTGGAAGTGAGGACAATAATGAGGTTGAGATATTCTGCATTCAAAGCATAACCTTTAAAGTTCTCACTAAAATAAGGCATCTATGCTGTTCTCCAATTCATATTTGGGCTAAACGCTTCCATTAGAAGAAGCTGTGTTTTTACTAATTAAAAAAAAACAACAAAAACTGTGTGGTCAAGTAAAAGATGAAGAAATTCCCTTCTAAAACCGCCATGTACTACACTCTAGAACGAAAAGACTGCTCCAAGCGGACACCGGGTTCATCTGAACCCATTATTTCATGTGGAGTATAAATTTATGCGCAAAAATATTCACTAAATTGCAATAAATAGTAGGTCTGAACCCGTAATTTAAGAATACAGTGGGTTCAATGCTAAAAAGCTTGTTGAACCCATAGCACTTAAATCTTAAATCTGCCTTTGGCTCCAAGGAGCATCACTCCGATACACCCTACAAAAGCCTGAACCATAAAGGAGAAGTACAGAGCAAACTTTATTCATGTCTTGTCAAGGTTGCTTGTCATCTCGTTACAACACTTGCGAAAAAGAAAAGGTCTGTCGGCAATGGAATTACTTGCCTTTTCAAAATAATACAAGAGACTTAGCTCTATACCTTAACATCAAGATGCTGTGTATGCATAGGCTATCAGGGCAATGCTGTCCAACACTCCTCTAAAGAGGGTCAGTTCTTAACTTTAAAACCGCGGCAGTTATAAAACTGCGATACTTGGGCACCATGTAAGGAAGGAAGCCAACTGGTAAAACTCAACCATGTGATATCGATTTCAGTTGACGTACTAACTGCTTAACATATAAATCCTAATATGCTGTCAATCCTGGTAATGAATGCTTGCTTTTGGTATTCATTGTGAAAGAGTTCATCTTGACTAATGTCGTAGGATATGCTTTGGCCTTGGAAATAACCAGGCACTGTCTTTATTTATTATTGTATCTATCACTCAGGGATCAGAGGGAAAAGGCAGGGGAGGGAATCAATCAACCCCCAGGCTTCAATCTCAAATCAGTTTTAGGAGAAGGAAATGTGAATGATGGATTAAAAAATTAAAGAACATGCTTTATGCTCTATTATAAACCAGGAGGGAGGAGGAGTGGTGAAATAGTTGCACATTTGCTAGTCTTCCAGTTTAAGTCCTGAGATTTATTTGAACTTCTTCTGTCAGGTGAGATGTCGGCTTATGAAAACGTTGTTGTTGGAAGGTTAAGACTAAAGGGCAAAGCTCTAGGTGTGAAATCTAGTGGGATGAAAAAGAAAAAGAAGCACAAGCATCAGTATGATCTTGTGACTCAAGTGACAGGTAATGACCAACTAAAAGGTTTGAGGCATCGTTCATTTGCTCATTGGAGATCATATCTTTTCTCTGTTATCATGGTCAATCAAGAATTGGTTGTTTCATTATGCCTTACATACCAGATTATTTTTTTTTGTTCTTTTCTGTGTCATCTTGAGTTTGTTAAAAAGGTATTCTAAGAGCAGGCTAGCCTTGAGCATTTCTTAAGATAATATTTGGTTTAATATTCAAGTGCACTTCTTGTTGCTGTGTATCTATACTGGCATAGTATTCAACCTACTTCATCGGCAAAATTATGTAATGCGATTTAACAAATTATACTGACTTTTTCAAAAAGAAAAAAGAAAAAACTTAACAACCTATACTGAATAGTCAATCCTGTATGGTTCTCGCTTATGCGAGAAGAACATGTGGTAGAGATTTATTACATTTGGGAAATAAGTCTCATCATTTCATGATGTGTTTCATACCCATCCTTGTAAAAGTTAAATACATGGCTCACTAAGTTTGCTAGATGTTATGCGTCTGCATTGTCAATCTCATATTTTGTAGTGTCAATAGAAGTTTCATAACCTTGTTATGTAAAGTGTAGTGGGTTTTAGCAAGGGTAACTGCCCTAGCATAAGACCCATAATTTTATTCGAGATCAGCAGCTATTTCTTATTGTTTCAGCAAAGATGATACAAACGAAGATGAAGAAGGAAAGCAAAGAATAGATCTGTATCAGATACCACCATCTACATGTATAGAATAACATCAAACTGATCAGATGTTGTTTTGCCCTTCTGATCTGGTGCATTACTCTTTTCTTTTCTCCAGCTTGCTAGTAGTTCATCTTGATAAAGCATAAGCATATCATTGACCCTAAATCTTCTGGCATATGAAGTATGATGCTAAATGTTTAGCTGATGTGAGGGTAGTGGTAAACTGGTAATTACAGATCTCAGGGTTCGTATATGTGGAAACTAATTATAATCATTGAATAGCTAGTAATGCATGAGTCGTGCTCAGTTAGTTGGTAGGGCTAACAAACTGTTAATTGTTGATTCTGGTACATGGGGTTGTAGGGAGATATTGACCAAAGTCTGAGATGTCTCATTGGTCTCTTGTTATTCTCTCCACATTTGGTGAATTGTTCTAATGGGGCCACCTTGAGTTGTCTCATGAACTAGCATCAATGCCACCTTCTTTGGGATTTGGCAGATCAAAAGTGGCGTTGATGCAGGTTTGTTAAATGCCCTTTTCCATGAGCTCTTTTTCGTGTTTCGCATTTCCTTTTCTTATAGGCTTGTGTAGTGATGGGAACTATTTTACTTTTTTCTTTTCGTGGGGTGGTTTTTTTTTTTTTTTTTGTTGTGTGTGTGTGTGTGTGGTGGGGGGGGGGGGGTACAGTGTGAGGACTTGCATTGTTATGATTGTTCATTGTAGGTAGGAGGGGCAGATAGCTCAATCTGTGGAGGCAATTGTGATTTTCTTCATTTCTCGTTTTGTTTTGGAGGATTGACTAACGATATAATTGAAGAAAGGATACTTTCTCCAAACCATACATTTGATAGTAGGTTGCTAAGAGGGGTGAGGAAGCATGGTGTGTATTACTCTTTCTTGCATGCCAAAATTGGAGTCTTCTTGGTATCCTTTAAGATCATGTTACAACATCAATTGCATGTCGTCTTTAGTGTTCAGCAGTACTATAATATCTAATTCATCTGTATTTGAATGTTATGCCCATTTGACTTGGTTTTAATTCCGTATGTTGTTGTAAAACTTATTTGTGGGTGGCAGATGGAAACAACGCATTGGCCAGAAACCAACTTGAGGACGATATAGATGAGAGTTACCTTGACAGTGGGAGGAAAGAGCAAGGAACAAAGAATGATGATCATCTCACACCAGCAGAGAGGAAATACCTTGAGCATTGGGAGAAAATTAATATCAAACGACTAGCAAAAGAAGCCACGAAATCCCACCGCGATAGAATTCAAGAATTTAATCAGTACCTAGCTAATCTTACTGAGCATTATGACATTCCTAAGGTTGGTCCTGGTTAAGATAAACCAGCCTTCGGAAACTCCATCTTTTTCCTTCTGTCTAATCATCTTGTGCATTCTATGGACTTGTTGAAGTCTTGAAATTAAGTCGATTTGCGCTGTATCTGGACATTTCCGCTTGTTTCTGGGCTCGATGCGTCTTTAATTTAGATATGCCTAGCTTCTTAGAGAAGTCGTATTGCCAGTTTTCTGTGATTCAGCTGGTTGTGTCATGGATGGACTGCAGTCTCTTTTCAGTTGTTTTAAGTATCACCCAAACCTAGAGTCCGAAACTTTTCTAATGCTTTTTTGGGCAAAAAGAACGTTTCTACTACCAAAACAAAAAAAGGTAAATAAATACCTAAAACGCAGTACTATACTGCGAATTACTTTAAGGGAAATTTAGCCGTTTAAGTAATTTGCAGTATAGTACTGCGTATTATTAAAAAATTATTTTTTTAAGGAATTCGCAGTACAATACAGCGAATTACTTAAACACAGCGTTTCACTTATTAATTTGGGCCCAGCTTTAGCAGTATTATACTGCGTTTAAGTAATTGGCAATATAGTATTGCGAATTCCTTTAATAAAATAAAGCCCTTCTTCTTCCCCAAGACAACGATAGACCTCACTCCCCCAATTAAAAAACCACCCAGTTCACTGCTGGTACCCCCTCCCCCCCCCCCCCAAAAAAAAAAATTTTTTTGGGCCCCACCCGTAACCCACAAAGCAAAGAGTGTAGGTCCCACACACAAGACTAGCTTTGGATTCGTTCATTTGGGTGCAAAAATTCGATTTGAATCAATTTCAAAAAACTTAAATCGTGGTATGTCGATTTTGTTGTTGTTGAAACTCGTATAGTACATGCATATTTGTATTGTTGAATATGTTTTCATGTTAATTTGTGTTATGTTTGTGTTTAAATTTGAATTTTATACCCGGATTGATTTATTAGCTTTGAGACAAAAAATTGTTAAAATTTGATAAATAATTTGTATTGTTAATGTTATGTTTTTATTTGGTTAAATAATAAATAAATATTATTTATTTAGTTGTTGTTCATATTTATATGTTATGTTTGTTGTTTTTATATGTAATAGTGACCTTTTAGCGTAGTAAAATAAAAAGCCTTTTAGCGTAGTAAAATATAGAGCATTTTAGTGTAGTAAAATATAGAGCCTTTTAGCGTAGTAAAATATAGAGCCTTTTAGCTCAGTAAAAGAACAAAATGATAAGTTACCCAACTACATAAATATTTTAGATATAGCTATATCACTTTACTTACAAGTCGTACTGTCATGACGTTTCATGATGGATATTTTCTTGTTGGTGATGACTCCCGGATGGACCACCGTGCTCCAATACTCCAGAACTACGCATATTCCAACTAGGGACGGGGTCATAACTTGTAAAATTCATATCCGGACGGTACCCCCTATGAAAAATATAAGTGTTAATACAAATCCAATTAAAACATAAAATAAACATCGCTAAAGCGTAGTAAAATTGAAGTTTACAAGTCGTCTTGTGGATTATATAAAGTCGAAAAATTATTTTGTGGCTGCTCATTCGCTGGTGGTGGCAAGTTTAAATCAAGGCAAGCTCTTTCATCAAATCTGTCCGACAAAAACTGCTCCAGAATAACCACCCGATGACTGGGGGTTATCCCTACTATGCACGCCCTCATTATTGGGAACGTCTTCCACCTTGACGTACATTTCCAATAATATTATTACAATAAATTCCCTGTANTACTTAAAGTTTTACGTTAAGTAATTCGCAGTATAGTACTGCGTTTTAGGTATTTATGTTACTTTTTTTTTAGTAGTAAAAACGTGTTTTGTGCCCAAAAAGGCATTAGAAAAGTTTCGGGCTCCCCAAACCTAGCCTAGGCAAAAGGGTTTTTGTATAAAGTTTTGTAGTATGAAATACTGTTTGGTTACCACTTCCCTTTTCTATTCAAAATTTGCAGAAATGTTTATACTAATCATATTGTTGAATAAAATTCCTGCGTACAAGAACCTGATAATAGGTGAATTTGACTATAATCACACCTTAAATAATCACCTTCTTGTATAGTTTTAATGCTAAAAGTGATAACAAAATGCTCTTATTAGTGCTTTTCATGATTTGCAGGTGATATATGTATAAGGAAGGCTAAGGAGCAGTTTTGGAGTCAAAATTAGAGAAAAGAGGCCAAATGTGTAAATTCCCAATGAAGCTACGCCCTGCCAGCCCATAGGATTCAGAAAAATGGTTTGGCCGCGGTTCTACCGCGACCGCGGCAGAACCGCGGTGGAAGGCAGCTTCAGAACTTTAGAGATTCAGAGAGGGTGATTGGCCGCGGTTCTACCGCGACCGCGGCAGAACCGCGGCAGGCGCAGAAAAGTTCAGGGGTCAAAGTGTCAAATACGGGATTTTTAGACCTAAACCCTATTTAAAACATTAGACTTCGCCCAAGAGAGTAGGTATTGATTTTGAGGGTTTCTTAGCAAGGAAAACCATTGTGAGAGAATACTCCAAACATCTTTCTTCTTTACTTTTGATTTTTATGATGAATTCTATCTTATTTTATTTTCCCATAGCCATGAGTAGCTAAATTCATTGTCTAAGGTTTTGATGGAACCTATTGGGTGATGAACTTCTTGTTTATGTGAATACAAATTGCCAGTTTAATCTCTATTTGTTCAACTTCGTATTTGTTGTAGTTAACTGACAGGATCCTCAATTAGCTGTGCCTATTTAGTGTGCATAACTTGGAAAAGAGTGCATATTTAGGGTATTGTTGAACAACACCACTCCTAGATTATTAGAGGAATCTATAATTGCGGGTTTAAAGGCGGGATTAGGGATAACGAAGCCTTGGGTGTAATCTAAAGTGGATCGTGCTAAATAAAGTAAGCTAGTGTATCTCGGGAGAGTGCAATAGTAAATTACTGTGATTACTCGGGAGAGATTTACGGTAAGATTAGCGTTCATGATTGATAGAGATGTGTTGGTAAATTTGTATGAGCATAAACAGAAGGGATTCCATCAATAGGGGAAATCATTGCCTTAGCTTTTTATCATAATTGTTTACAACCTTATTAGTTTAGTTTACAGCTATTTAGTTACTTGCAAGCGTAGTTGTTAAAGAACATTCAACTGAGATTTGAATATTTGGGAAGCTGGTTCTGAAGAATTAGTGGGTCTGAAGATAGTGGTTGATAGGTTAACTCTCTGTGGATTCGACCCTGGGCGTAATACTCGGGTTATATTTGCAACGTCCGCAGAGTCCTTTTTATAAGGCGTAGTTGGGCGTGATCAAATTTTGGCGCCGTTGCCGGGGAGTTAACGGAATTATCAATTGCCATTGACAGAAATACAAAGATTCTTATTGTAGTCAGTTTTCTCTCTACCAAAAATTTTTATTGAAAATTTGACGGTTGTTGATCTGGGTGCACAGGTGTATGCCTAGAAATTCTACGAGGACTGGAGAACTACTTGAAGGACTCTCAGACCCCGGGAAAATATTCCGGGCATTGAATCGTGCCAACAAAAGACTTCAACAACCCCAACAAACACACAAATTCGAAATTGACATGGGCGACGTAAACGGTCCCAACGGAAACGTCAGGAATGAGCAATTGGCACCTCCTGTGCCTGAGGGTGCATTATATGACTGGGCACAACCCACAGCTGACAATCTGGCTACTGCCATTGTTGTGCCCGCAATACAAGCTGAATCGTTCCAGATCACAAATAACATGCTACACTTGTTGCAGAACAAGGGACTCTTTTCTGGGACACAAACAGAAGATCCTCAGCAGCACTTGAAGAACTTCCTGTCTATATGCAAAACTCAAAGGCAACCCAACGTGACTCCGGAAGCAATCAGGCTATTATTGTTTCCATTCTCGGTGACAGGAGCTGCTCAGGTTTGGCTAAACTCGCTCCCCATAAACTCTATAGAAACTTGGGATGAGTTGGTCAAGCAATTTCACAACAAGTTCCATCCGCCCAACAAAACTGCTCAACAAATTGATGAGATTGTGAGTTTCAAACAGAAACCAATGGAGACACTACACGAGACATGGGGCAGGTTTAAGGGAATGTTGGTTATGT